TACAGCCACTTGTGAAAGAGATGTACTCTTGCTCTGGAGTGTGTTACTGAATATGGTAAAGCTGTAGTGAAATGCTTCTTCTAATCATGTAGTTATTAAAAATTAAAAAAATGATTTAAAAAACAATAATTCTTCAAAGCATAAAAATAAAAAACAATGAGTCTTTCTTAAGAAACAGTATATTTTAAAATGAAATGGAGATTTTTTTTTTGGTATTTTTGAGACAGGGTCTCCCTGTAGCCCCAGCTGTTCTGTAAATCACTATATAGACCAGGCTGGCCTCGAAATCACAGAGATCTGCCTGCTTTTGCCTCCCGAGTGCCGGGATTAAAGATGTGTGCCACCACACCCGGCTAGAGATCTTTTTTAAAGGTTAAAACCTCATTTAATTTTATGTCTTACAGGATGGGTTTATATTGAGTACAATATTGTATAACTAATAATTCAACTGTAAACCTTACAAGTTTACAGTCAAATTTGAAAGAGAAGCATCTTAGCTCAGGAAATTGTTATTGAATATGTCAATGCTGTTGTAATGAAATGCTTCTTCTAAGTATGTGGTTAATAAATAAATAAATAAAAATAATAATAATAAAAAGAATTCCAAGCGCTATCTTACACAGCTTCAAATATCATCCCTGCCAAGGACTCCACCTCTTAAGATGCATATTTCTGACTGCTCGCCTGTTTCTTTCTCTAAAAACTAAAATGTTCACACTTGCGAATCTTATCTCCTTCCCATGCTCCAATTATGAGACAGTCTTGCCATGTAACCTTGGCAGGCCTAGAACTATGTAGCACAAGTTAGCCTCAAACTCACAGCAATCTCAGGCTCCAGAATGCTGGGATTACGAACATATACTACCACACTTGGCTCTAATTAAGAGTGTTAGCTGTACTCCCCAAACTGGAATCTCTCCCCTGACTCTGTCTTCAGCCCCTGGCATCATCTCTAACAAGATCTTGTAGGCTTCTATTGCTACCACTCAAATTCTGGGCTTCAATATGTGAAATGGCCTCTACAGTGGCCTGCCTCTGTTTCACAAGAACAGCCTATGCCTTCTCACTTCATAGCTCTTTGAAATGACCACAGAGTCATTGCATTTCCCTGTGACTTTCCTAAATCACAACCAGTTTTGCTGTTAAAGTCCTAATAATTCATCTCCAGAGGTTCACCTGAAATAATACTGCCTCATCTAGGACAGTAGATGCTGTTTCTAGATCCTACTAAATAAATGTTTTCTCTTCCTGAGTACTCCATATGTAGTGTTCAGGCAACTGTATTTATAAGTTTCTTATTATTAAATACCAAGCTCTCTGAAGGAAAGGCCTATGTCATACTGATGTACACACACATCATATAGTGCCTTGTGTTTAGGAGGTCCCCGTTACCATGTAAAATGCCCATACTTAGTCCTGTCAGCTTTAAAATAATACATTTAGAACTATTCTAATTTGAACATATAAAATGCTCTAAACTCTGAAGCTTTTTAAGCAGCCGCATGATGATGGCACCAGTAGAAAGTTCCCCAACTGACCTCAGAGTCAGGCACACTACACACATTGTAAAAAAGAAAAAAATCCTTTCAGCTACATAATTAATGTACAGATGAAACACAAATGAACTTTATGTTTACATTTCAGTATCATACCAAAGACATCTCATTACATATATGTTAGTATTCTAAACTTTGGAAAAAAATCTGAAATCTAAAATGATTTCAAATAAAGGATACACAATGTGGGTTTATCCACTTTGTGTACTGTGTACTTCGTATAGTATTTAAAACTTACTGCTCTCTACCTGTCCTCATTTGTAATGCTTATAGTCTCCGCTCAGCTACAAGCTATATTAGGATACAATCTATTACTTTTTAATTCTCATCCAGTCTAGCTGTACTCTAGGAAGATGGTAAGCATTAGCATAATATCACAAATATACTTAATAGCACTTAATGTAACATTATGAAAACATACTAACAAAAATACAAATCTGAAAGACACTATGTACCAGATTTCATTTAGACTACAGACTGATGTATTAAAAAAAATTTTATAGTAAATTACCCAACAGGTATCCTTAAAGTTTTAGATCAAGTAAATTACATGCAAAGAAAATTATGTCCAAAATTAATATTAATTTCTCGAAAATAACTGCATTTCTTTTCTAGTAGAAGGGGAAAAAATGCAAGATTTTCAGAAAACCACCAAGGTTTTATAAACATAAAATTATGCAGAAATTCCCTATGACTTTTTCTTAGATACTGTGTCTATCCATAAACCATTGCCCTCATAGCACTCCCAGTGAAAAAATTAACAGTAAAGAGATAAGCCATTGTTTATAAGTAAAAGGAAATTATTTCCAAGAAGATAGGCAGTAATTAAGAATAAAAAAAATAAAACTTTCAGTTTTTAATTATGAAAAAGGAGGATTTTGCATATAACACATTAATAAAAGCCACTAATCTTAAAAAATAGCACTGAAGATTCAAATGCGGATATCTAAACGTAAGAGATGCTGTCAAACATGCAAACTTATAAAGAATCAAGGGAAAAAGACAGAGTAAGCTCTCAACTACATACCTGCTTAAGTCGGGCAAGTTCTTTCAAAGCTCGTCCCCACTGCTGCTTGTAATGTAGTTTAGACTTAGTTGCAGATTCCAACTTTCTTTCAAGTTCAACCTAGCAGTGATTAAAATCGTATCAAGTGAAACACTATACCACTGTGTACAATCACTGAAAGATAATATATACAAAGAGTCTGGCTTAAGAAAAGAGTTTATATAGTGTAACATATGACATCGTCTAAAACTGTTACATAATTTACTATAAATATTATGGCACATGAACATTTTCTTGTTTAAAATATAGTCTTATTTTTATTGCCTTGCAGCCTAGACTAAAAAGAACTGAATTAGTCTTAACCTCCAGACAGTTACTATAAATGTATTTAAACATGTATATTACACAGAGTGAAAAATACATTCATTTTTAACAAAAAGCAGCTCTAACTGTTAACATTCCAATTTAGCCAGCAATCTAAATCTTAGAAACCAAATTTTCCTGGTGAAGGCTTATCATGTGGCATTCTGTCATGTAATGAAGAGAACTAGGAGAGATACTTTTATAACTTTTGGCAAAACCATGAAACACTGGAAACAGAGCAACGTTTTATCAGAAAGCAATTTACTAAGAAAGAGTGCAAAGTTAAAAATATAAAAATATTTTAAGAATGTTAAAATAAACCCAAGAGTAAGAAAAATAATGTTCCCTAATAACACACATCTCACTTTTATTTTCTATCTTTCCTGAAATATATAAAGAAAAACACTAAAGTGATTCAATTTAAAAATCTGGTTATTTATGCTTGCAGCAGGCAATCTATTGTGCATGAACTGAAGCCAACTTGGCTATGTTCTGGAATGTACTCATGCAGTTTCAAACCAAGTACCAAACAAATTCATGCAGCCAACAGACAGTTTTACTATTAAGTGATAATGCAATAATCTGCTTGAATTACAGTAAAACACTGTTATTCTGAACTGGCTAATTTTTTTAAATATCAAGTTCAGTTTTTCCCATACATATAACTGCTAATGTTTTAGAGCAAAACAAAAATGAAGACACTATAAAAATTCTTACTTTAGAAAACTCATAGCAAAATAAAATGACAGGAAAAGCAGACTGCCAAATCCCCTTCACAAAAGACCAGAACATTCTCTGCAGTTATATATGACTCCATGAAGTCAAGGTCTTTTCTGCTTTACAAATCCCTAGTGCTTGGATTTAGATGTGTTGACATTTCACAACTAGACTCAAGCATCTTAAGTTGAATAATATTGCTGAGATTACTGGAGATAATCTTTTCCACTTAGGCCCCAAAGATTTATATATATTACTTGGTAATTTAACAATAAGCTGTACCTCAGAAGAACAGAAACAGGCTTTGTACAGCTGTGGGGGAAACCAGTATCCAATTATAAAGAGATCATGTCTACAGGTCCCAGAAAGTCTAGATCCTGGATGGGACTAAAGATGAGGCCTACTGGACTAGCTCCAATAGTAAAAACTGGACAGGTCCTATCAGTTTTGCCATAAATATAAAAATAACTCACATTTGCATATTTGCATTAATTTAAAAAACATGTATTGTTCCGCATATAATATTTTCTTTTTAAAAAGCCCTTGATTGCAAAGCTGAGGCATAAATTCATTCTTATCATCAATAATTCCTAACTTTTTGTAAAAAGATGCTTGTGATTCTAAAGAATTACATGGACCCAGTTCCCAGAAAAATACATGTAACCCAAATTTTAATATAATTTCAGGGCATTCAAAAGTTGAGTTAAAGCCTGTATTGTTAACTATTGTTAAAAGTTCCCGGAAGTTTTTTTTTTTGTTTTTTTTTTGGAGACAAGGTCTTGCTGTATAGCCTAGGGCAGCCTCAACAGTGCTGGGTTACAGGTGTGCACTTCCACCCCTGACTTGTAGTATTTTAAATTAGTGTTTCATTAGTCAACAACTCAAGTGCTATACCATACACTAAGTAACATATTCCTGAAAGAAAAATAGCTCAGGACTTAGTCAATTCAGACTGTCTATGACTAAAAGCATAGTTCCTAGATGCAGCTATGATTTGCTATGGCATTATTTTTGCCTTTAATCTCCTACTCCCATGTTCTAATCTGTCACAAACTACATTCCTCCCCTGAAATGTCAAAGTTACCCTTTCCCTTTCAACTGCTACTTCTGTAGCCAAGGCTCTTGTCATCTTGATGGTAAGAGCATCCTTATCTTCCCAGCTTGGGATATACCCAGAAGGCTTGCAAACTGCCATCAATTCACTCTTCACTACGAAACTGACTATGCTGAGCAGAGGGGCACATGTCTCAACACTCAGGAGGCAGAGGCAGACAGATCTCTGTGAGATCGAGGCCAGCCTGGTCTACACAGAGTATCTGGCCAGCTGGGGCTACAGGGAGACCCTGTCTCAAAAAACAACAACAATAAAACAAAACAAATAAAAATTTACTACAGCCGTTTACCTAGGGTCCCAATACAATTCCCATAATACCCGTTCAACCTACTTCCTTAGTATTCTTCAACAGGAGACTCTACAATCCAACCAGGTTTGTGGCTCCTATGCTCTCTGCCCTCCTCACCTGAGTCACTTCTAGATCTGCCAATTCTTTTTTTAAATCCCTCTGCTTGCCTAAATCTTAAAGCTCGCCTCAGATTTTGTCTTTATAGGAAGCTGTCTTAAATCTATAACACATGGAACACTAAATGGTTTCCTTTGAATTTGATTAGCTGTGGTTATTTACTACTTGGAGTCATCGCTCAAACCACATTAACAGTGTTTAAAAAGCTATATCCCAGGGCAGGCATGGTGGTGCACACCTTTTATCCCAGTAGTTGGAATACAGAGGCAGGTCGACCCCTGTGAGATCAAGGTCACCCTGGGATAGCCTACATACAGTATTCCAAGCCAGCTGAGGCTACATAGTGAAACTCTGTCTCAAAAACAACAAGAACAAAAAACAACAAAAAAACAAAAACAAAAAAACCCCACAAACAAGCAAAAAAAGTCAAGCCCCAAAAGGATAATGTACTTTCACTTTCTGTTTTTTTTTTTCTAAAAGTGGGCACATATTAAAAAATAAAATATTCTTTAAATACATTACCAGAATTTTATGTTGATGTTCACATTGTTTTTTCACTGTACATGCCCTACTAATTTATATGTTGTCCATTTTCCCCAAAGTCTCAATTATTTACAAATTATGTAATAAAAAAAAAAAAAATCACAAAGCCAGGCCAGGCCAGGTCCAATGGCTTGCACCTATAATTTCAGCATGCAGGCGGACTACTGCAAGTTTGAGGCCAGCCTGGGCTACATAGCAAGTTCTAGGCCAGCTTGAGCTAGTGTGAAGAAAAAAACACGGAAGAACGCCCTCCCCAACTAACACACAAACACACACACACACACACACACACACACACACACAATAAGCAAAGCAAAGCAAAACAAAACAAAATTTGAGATTAATAGCCCAGAATCCACAGTGGAAGGAGAGAACCAATTCCTAAAAGTTGCCCTCTAAACGCCACGGACACTGTGGCCGTGTGTCCCCACTCACATATACACAGGCAGACACATAATAGTAAGTAAAATTAAATCAAAACCCCCTCACAAACCATTAATTCCCATAGTAACAAAAAGTAAAAAAGGAGTCAACAATTATTTGGTAAAACTGTATCTTAGTATTAATTTTAGACCCTTTTACTGAAAATGGGAAATCTGTGTTACATTAAGAATAGGTAATTAATAAAGAAAAAAAAAGCTCTTATTGGACATAAACAGGATTGACAAGTGAACTCAGATACTTTTTCACTTGGTGGCATTTTTGTGCTTTTATTTCTGTTAATATTTCAGAGTAAGATTCTGCCATCTTCTGGCTCCAGAAAGACTTACAGAGAATTTTCAAAAGTAAAAAGTTACTGGCACTTTAAGCACGCTGGAAGCATTCCTTAGGCCTACACAGAAGCAGCTCAGTTAACCATCTCTCACTCCTCACTCAGCATCTCTACTCCTAAAGCTTTTAATACGGCTAATGAGTTTTATTCTTTTAGTAAATCCTAATTGGCAAAATGGAAGTTTTAAAGTGATTTAAATACTGTTTTTTCTGATGAATCTTATCTATTTAACCAGTTCTTATTCAGAGATAAGGTTTTTGTTACAATTCTGGTATATGACCTCTTAATTTCCTTGAAGTAAGATAGAAATACTTGGATGCCCACTTAACACATTTGCAAGGACTGATGAGGTACTTTTGTAATGATAATTCAAATCTCTATGGCGGATACTACAGAGCATTCATATTTATGAACAAAGAAACAACTCACTCCTTGGTTTTATCAAAGGTGAAATGGGCAATGTCTAGTTGGATTCAGTTCACTGGTAAAGAAATGAGATGTCCAGAAAAGAAATCCAGAACATGTTCAATTATGTAAGAAATAGAATCAACATGGCTTGCACGTGAATGAATGGGAGAGTAAGAATACCACAGAGAGCAGGATGGCTGTAGAAACACTATATGAAAGCAGTTTTCAGGGGATATGAATATTATAAAATATCTCGGAGATTAGAGTTTTGACATCAAAGGGTTCAGGAGTCAAAATAACGCCAAGCTATTGTTTGTCTTTCATCCTCTGTGTGTACAGAAGTGTTTTCCAGGGTTACATGAGGTCTACAACCATGACAGATTACATGCAAAAGCAAACAGAAGTACCTTCTATACCTCATTAAAGCAATTTCTAAAAAGGCGAAACAATTCTACCCTTTTCAAAGTTTTTTTGTTTTGTTTTAGAAAATATTTGTTTATTGTGTGTGAAGGTCAGAGGACAATTTGCTTTTCTCTTTCTACACAAGAGTTGTGGGACTGAACTCAGGTTATCAGGCTTGATGGCAAGAGCCTGTTTCCACTGAGCAATCTCACTAGCATGAAAACACTATATACTGGGTTTATTTTTTAATTGTTTTATTATTATTATTAACTTTATTTGTAGGTGTATGTGTGCATGTTTGTTTGTATGTATGTAGGTGCATACTTGCCATGGTATGCATGTGGAGGTTGGAGGACAACTTGCAAGTCCTGAGGATACAACTCAGGTCATCAGGCTAGGTAACAAGTGCCCTTACCCACTGAGGGGTCTTATCGGACCCAAGTTTATTTTTAAGTGAATAAATAGGGGCTGGAGAGATGGCTAAGCAGTTAAGAGCACTGGCTACTCTTGCAGAGAGCCCAGGTTCAGTTTCCAGCACCCACACCCATCTGTATTTCTAGGGGATCTGATGTTCTTTTCTGGCCTCTGTGGGTACTGCAAGCACATAGTTCACTTAAATACATGCAGGTAAAACACTCATACAAAAAAAAAAAATTAAATGAATATTTTAAAACACTTCTAGAGTGTGTGTGTGTGTGTGTGTTTGTTTTTAGACAGGGTCTCACTGTGTAGCTTTGGCTGGCCTGGAACTCACTATGTACACCAGGCTGGCCTCAAGCTTACAGAGATCCACCTGCCTTTGTCTCTTGAATGCTATCATTAAAGGTGTACGTGACCATGTCCAGCTAATTTTAATTTTTAATATAGTGGTTTATATAGCTATAAAGCATTTAGAATCAATAGTTTTTTTTTTTTTTTTTTTGGTCTTTTGGCGACAAGGTCTCTCTGTAGCCCCAGCTGACTTGGAACTCGCTTTGTAGACCAGGCTGCCCTTGAACTCACAGAGATCCACAAGCCTCTGCCTCCTGAGTGCTGGGATTAAAGGTGTGTCATCATTAGATCAATGACCTATCTTTTTCCTAAGACATATAAAGGGGCCATGAGTCCAAAAAGTCAACAGTTATTCTAAGGCACTAAAGAAAAGATTTTGAGTAGACAGTTATGTATGAATCTTTCTCTAAAGAGTCAGGTCTTATTTTCTTAAACACTAGTTGGACTTTTGGTAAAGATGAAGCTAATCTTCTGCTTAATCCTTAATACTTTCTATGTTTGTTGATTTTAAAATTTTTAAAAAATTTTTAAAAATTTTTAAAGTTTTTAAAAATATTTTATGTGTAATGAGTGTACTGCATGCATGTATGTGAGTGCACCCATGTCGTGCAATGCCACGGAGGTCAGAAGAGGGCTTCGGATTTTGGATCCCCTGGAACTGGAGTTAAGGATGGTTCCTAGCCACCATTGAACCCGGGTCCTCTGCAAGAGCAGTCAGTGCTCTTAACTGCTGAGTCATCTCTCCAGCCCCTCATTTAAAGTTTTTAAAATTTAAAATAAAATCATTTAATTCTAATTATCACACACAATCATGGAGCTAGTTGGGGGAAGCCATTCAAATACCTGTCCAGTCCCAAACCCTATCCATATCAATGAACTACAGTTAGAATGCCACTCTGAAGTCATGGAGAGTCACTTAGGGATTTACACTTTCAACATCAACTACATTTTGTTTTTGTTTACTCCTCAACCACACACAAAAAAAGAAAGTATAGATGGCATTGAAACTAGAAGAAAAAAGTTAGCATTATCCCCTCTTTCCACAACTCATGCATCCCTCTGCCTGCATTCTGTCCTTCTTAAATTTCTCAGTTTTTTTGAGACAAGGTCTCCCTGTAGCCCTAGCTGGCCTGAAAATCACCGTGTAGAACAGGTTGGCCTGATATCAGAGATCCACCTGCCTCTGTCTCCCAAGCGCTAGGATTAAAGGTGTACACCACCACACCTGGCTAAATTTACCAATTTTAACATTGCTTTTACTTTATATGTTTGTAAGTAAAAAACAAATATTAAATAAAAATAAACTATTTCCCATGTTCTATGCAAAGTACTTTACATTTGTTTTATTGAGCCTAATTAGTCCTATTTAAAATGCTTGGAATAAGTAGAGTGAAGTAAAGAACCTGTCTGCTGTGATCCAACTAAGTATCCTAGCCAGAATAGAAGTCAAAACCATGCAGTCGTGTTGAAGCTGGTAATGCCATCATGAACAACATAAGCACAGAACAAATCCTAACTCGCTTGCTATGGCTTTAGAACCTAGTATTTTAAATCTACCTGGACATTCTGAGCTCTACGCTGCCCATCTTTCAGTCTAGGTTCTGGATTGCCTCTACCTTTGCAGGACGGAGTTCCCTGTATATCACAGCTCTTTGTGTTGCTGCCTCTTTAAGATCTTCTCACAGCTCTCACTACGTACTGCCAAACTTCAGGTGTCTGCTGGACATGCGCACTTAAAAAAATAAATACTTTGTGAGGCTAGAGGGATAGCTCAGTGGTTAAGAGCACTTGCTGCTCTTCTAGAAGACCAGAGTTCAGTCCTCAGTGCCTATATCTAGCAGCCTACTCCAGCTCTAACCCCCACTCCAAGGGATCCAACACTCTCTTCTGATGTCTTTGGGTACTTACACACATATGACATTCACCCACACAGACAGGCAGGCACGCACGTACGCATGCGTGTGCACGCACGCACGCACGCGCGCGCGCGCACACACACACACACACACACACACATAAAAATAGTAAAAATAAACCTTAAATTTTTTTTACTATATTCTGTAATCATTTATCTTGTGTATATACATGTGTAGGGAGGCCAGAGAACAACTCACAGTATTGGGTTTTTGCCTTTTCAGAGAGAAAATTCAGGTCATTAGGCTTGGCAACTTGAGCCTTTACCCACTGAGCCATCTCACTGCCCCATATTCACACTTTTTAACACCTAACCACTGTACATTGTTTATGGGGGAGTTTCAATACCAATGAGAGGCAGGATCTGTCCCACAGAAAACAAAATGAAGTAGACACTGCTTCTTCTAAGCTGAAGGCTGGACTGTGAGTCTCTGCTATGAATGACTGCCCTGCCAAGGATATCAATATAGAAAGGAGTTAGAGAGAATGGTCACATTGGCCACCAGGATGGGCAGCAACAAGGACACCCTAAGCAACTATGACACGACACTAGCTGTCCTGGCTTCTTACTAGTTCCTGCTCATATTTTGAAAATGATTCTTTAGCCCAACAGTTTTCTGAATCCCTCTATTCCTAAAATGAGTCAATTCTTGTCAGTTCTGTTTGCAACTCAACATTCTGTGAATGCATGATATATATGCGTGCACACACACACCAAAAATCAAATGCTATCAAGGCCATGTGCCTTCAATTCTCTGACATTATTTGGTGCTAGTACAATATAGTGAAATGTAACATTGTGTGTGTGTGTGTGTGTGTGTGTGTGTGTGCATGTATACCATACATGTGTGTGTGTGCATGTATACCATACTAATTTTATAAATTAGTCTCCAGGACTAGTTAAAAGTTTCTAAAGGCTGACATAGGTACCTTTTCCAAGGTGAGAAGATTTATTTCAGACTGTAGACGTATTTCTGGTTTGTTGCTTTGTTGATCCTTGAACTGCTGAAACTCTTTTTCCAAAATCTTATACTTATTTTCAGCATCTTTAAGCTGTATTAAAAAAAAAAAAATCACATCCATTTGAAAACAATCATATGCAATGTTTGATACTACATAGTTCAATTTAACAGTGTCATTATTATTCTAAAATATGTTTATAGAATATTAACATAAAAGGCTTTGTTTGGTTTTGTTTTTAGCTAGCTAAAAAATTAAGGATCAAAGACCTAACTGCCTGAAGGAAAGCCAAAGACCAGTGAGCTAATCAGGAGCAGTGGTAAACTAGAAGTCAAATCTTCTCATCTTCCAGAAGCAGAAGCTAATGAAAGCAGCTAGTAGTTCATAAATTATGGGAGGGAGTGTAGACAGACTGCCTTAACTAAGTAGTATAATTGAGGCCAAAAGGATTTTCTTTTTGGCTGAGCATTGGTGGCTCACACCTGTAATCTGAGAACATCCGTAAACTGGGAGGCCAGCCTGTGCTACACAGTGAGTTCCAGGCCATCCTTAGCTACAGAATATCTCAAAAATCAAGCAAAGAAAAACATACAACAACAATGAAATCAGATTTTTTTTTAAATTTGAGGTTTAAAAAAATTAAATTCAAACAAAGATTAATTATTGATGGTTTCATAAAACATAGACTGGCATGAATATTAGACAAATTATCTCCTTTCCTAAGATAAAAGACTCAACTAAAAGTGAAATACTGAGAAATTTTGTGGCAAAAATGGAACTTAAACCATCACTCGTGTGCCTTTAACCCTAGTACAAGGAAGGCTGATAGACAAGCGTGAAGTGGGCACTGCAACAGTCAGGCTAGACTGGACTAAATATTAAGAGCCTGTTGCAAAATACAAAAACAAAGCCAAACAAAATGTAAATGATCCTAATTAGGATGCATCAGCATCTGTAAGAAGTTGTTTCCTACATGAGATATTTCCATATAATTCAAGTCTACATTTTAACATCCAAAGCTGAACAGAAACCATTCTGGTACATCTCACCTTTTAAAACATTGATTCTGTGTTTATGGTTTGTGTGTGTCTCTGTATGTGTGTAGAAGCCAGAGGTAAGTGTCTTTCTCAATCATTCCCCACGTTATTTTTTTATATTGAACCTGGAATTCATGAACTGGTTAGACAGGATGGCCAGTAAGTCCCAGGGGTCTCCTGTCTCTGCCTCCCTAGAGCTGGTTTCACATTGCCCTGCCTGGATTTTTACATGAGTGCTTGGGATCCAAACTCAGGTTCCCATGTTTACTTTGCAAGCACTATCACTGACCAAGCCATTGCCCCAGATCTCACTTTTATATGTTGATCAAAAAATATAATATTACATTTAGTGTTCACCATTCAGTCACATCATTCTAGGCAATTACTGCTGATGCAATCCAGTGGTCCCTGTTAGGGCATGGGGGTTCATTTTCCTTTGCAAGGTAGTCTACGCAGACTAAGGTAATTCTGAATTCTGGTGCTTGTCTTATCTACGTGCATGCAGATAATTTATTTTCATCGGTTTTCACTGTGTTTAGCTGTCTCATCTATCTATCTAGTTAGAACTGTCTATATAATATATGCAACCAAGTCAGTGTAATGGCCTAAAAATACCCTTACATATAAAATGTGACTTTGTACATAGACAAGAACTTAGTTCTCCAAGCATCATGGAAACTTCCCTTGTCTTTTCCTCTGGTTAGAACAATGGCTCAACACAGAGATGTGCCTTGGGTAATTCTTCCAAAATACCAATGCTCATCAAGGCTTTTGCTACAAAAATGTAAGTTAATTATATCAGCTTAGGGTATGGCACAGACATGTACATTCCAAGCACTGCCTTGGTGATTCTGCATGTGTCAGAGCCTTTGTTCTAGATGGCTAAATCTTGATGAGTGGAGGAAGAAAAACATCACTAGTGAATTCCAGACAGTTGTCCACTTTTACAATTCACATTTATAACCATGTAATTAATGTGCTTGACTGCACGTGGCCTTGAGCTACTATGGAAACTATTCTTCATGAATTAGAATGTACTGAGAATGCTAAAGGCATTTAGCTACAGCTAATCTACACTGAAATTTCCCAAGAAAAAGAAGTTCAATTTTTAACAGCCTGATTTTTTTTCCCCTTTTTCTACAAATATTTATTGAGTTCCTATCATTGCTGACAACTAGGCTGGGACCCCGGCATAGAACTACAAACTAAAACAATTTTTATGGAACAACAATCTGACACAGATTAAATGGAAATAGTAATGAAAAATTAAAACTGATATAAAAAAAAAAGAACAGGAAAGTAATATTCCATGAGAACATTTAACAAAAACTTTATATGGATTTGGGAAGTGAGGTCAGGGAAGATTACTTGGGATAAGCGACACTCTACTGAAAGTAATGAATGAACAGAATTCATGGGGCCCTTAGAAAGCAGTACACAATGAGATCTTGGGGAGGAAAGAAGCAGGGTGTGCTGACAGGAGACCAATGTGGTTGGAATGTATAGAACAGAGAATCAGGAGATGATACTAGAGGAAAGACAAACAGAACATGCGGACAGGCTTGCTGGGCAAGCTAATGGTTCTGAGCATTATTCTATGGACGGTCGATAAGAAGGCACTGGAAGGTCTTCAAGAAGAAAGTACCATGGTTCTCATATCTCAAAAATACCTAGTTGCAACATGAGATCAGATGGGCCCACCCCTGAAGTAACACAGGCAGAAGGCCAGGTACGGTGTGGGACATGTTGGGTTTAAAATGCCTTTAGGACATACAAGTAAAGAATCTGATGGGACTAGGGTGCAAAGAAAAGGTCATAACGTAAAGGTGAAAGTAGAAGCCAGCCCTGAGCTTGGAGGAAGTCCAAGGTTCAATGGCTAGATGAGGGATAAGAAGGCTGCAAAGCAGCATGAAAGGTGAAAAATAAAGAAAGTGGTAGGGAAAGGTGACGAGACTATGCAGAAAACCCCCCAGCAATGCTGATGACAGCAGTCCAGTTTGGTAAGCTGAGAAATGGAAAGCACTCACTATACTTGTGACCTAGTCATGAGCGATTCTGACAACTGCCTGCGGAGATGAGGATGGAGGGCAGAGTGAGGCAGCCTGAGAAGGGACTTTGAGGTGAGGAAGTGCAAAGGAGGGCCAACAAGCCTCTGAACAGAATTCCGTTCCTGAATGAATTAGTCCAGTGCTCCAGAAATGCCTACATTGCTAAAAGGAGATTTACAGCAAAAGCTTTTACGTTAAGTAGCCTGAAATCTGGAAGAGTTTCACACAAACACTAATAAGGGTAAGGAAATATATTGTCTTTACATAATCCAATATAGTCCTTGTATTATATAGTCCAAAATAATCCTTCGCTTTAACTTTAAAAAAAATCCACCTTAAATTCTAATCTCTGTGCAGTGAATATAGTCCAAATCAGTGCATTTTATTACTTTGCAGTGAAACATTTCTGGAAGGCAAATAAACTCTAAATGTAACAAGGCGACAACCTGCTGCTGAAGCCGGTGCTTGTCCTCTTCCAGCTGCTTCATCTTCAGCCTTTCCAGCTCTACCTGGTGAACACAGTCTTCTTTGGCCCTCCGGATAGAATCCTGAAGTTCTTGCAGGTTCCTTTCACGTTCCAACTGTAGTTCCTTTTTCTCTCTTTGAAGCTTAAAAGGAAAGCGTCTTTAAGAGATTAGCTCATCACTAGCTGCATGATGTTGAGTAGTCTGTTACCCCATATTCAGTCTGTTACCCCATATTCAGGATACTTACAAATCAGGTTGGGGAGATGGCTCAGTCCATAAAGACTTGCCTTGCAAGCACAAGGATCTGAGTTCAATCCCCAGAACCCACATAAAAAAGAGGCAGTGGCACACTTGTAATCCCAGTGCTAGGGAGATGGAGACAGCAAATCCCTGGGACTCTATAGCCAGCCAGACCGGCCTGCCTGGTGAGCTCTAAAACAAAAAGGGTGGTATTCCTGGGGTGTGAAACTCAGGGCTATCCTCTGGCCTCCACAAGCATGTGCACACAGTGCACGTGCATGCCCAAATGCACACACACAATAAAGAACACACAGACATTTACTTCCATATCTTTTAGTTATTAATGTTTACTGATTTTCAATCACTTGCTGTTAATAATATATAAGTCATATAGAAAAATCCACACACAGCTTGTATAAATTCAGTTGAAAAGGCCCTAACCACTTAAACTCATTTTAACAAGGTGTTTTTTAATTATATAAAAATGTGTCTGAGTTTCTTTCTTCAACTAGAAACTTCTAATTTCTGCCCAAATATTTTAAAGACATATTTAATTAAGTTCATATATCTAAATAATTTAGAAACTCCAGAAATTGTATAATGATAATGTCAGAGTAATTTGCTGATAAAAATTTAAAATACATTATGGTTAGAGAAGGGACATAGAAACTTAAGGTGAAAAAAGTAACTTTTAAATTTTTATATATTTAGTGTATATTTATATTTTATAAAAAAGTTTTAGAGCAAAATTTAGTTAAGCCCTAATAAAATGTGAACTAGGTATAAGTTTTCATAAATCTTAGAATCTAATCTTGTTCTTTCCTTGCTATGTAGCCCAGGCTGCTCTGGAACTTGTTTTGTAGCCCAGGCTACCTCTAGACTCATGATCCTCCTCCCTTATCTCCTGAGCACTAGAATTACAAGCACTTGGGATTAAATCTTTAATGAACATGAAAGAAGGAAATTCCTTTCCCTCTGAAAACAGGTCAAATTTAAAAGCCCCTGAACCTCTGTGTGTGCTGTTCCCTCTAGGCAGTGAAAATATCCGTTCCTTCCACAGAACAGGAAGGTCAGCCAAAACCACTACAGAAGTGAATAAACTTGGCTCATTGATAAACTATCTCAAATAACAATGACTTTTCTACTGAGTCCTAACACTTTAAGATGAAATGTTTTACCCAGTCGAATAGCAGATTTACCCCATGTCTGAAAGGTAATTTCCAGGTAATACACATTATATTATGTAGAGAACAAACAAGATAAAGGATGTGAAGTTTATGAAGTAAGGAATACGCTGACACACTACCTCAGATTCTGCGCTGGCAAGCTGCTTCTCTCGATTCTCCAGCTCAGTAAGGGCTTTTTGAAGTTTTCCTTCTAGAATACTATATTCAGCCACCTAAAATACAGCAAAAGAAAATTTATTTTCCTTTTCCATATTCAAAACAACCTATCATTTCACCAAAACAGGATCTGGTAACAAGAGACAAACTGCATGCACCAATTAAAAGGAAAAGTTCCTTCTAGTGTCTTCTAAGAATGGAAGACAGTCATGCTTCTGCATGGACATTTTCAGCGATATCCCTCTCCCAGGGAAGCTCATTCTAGTAAGCCATCAAAAGTGCTAGTAAAATCCTGTGCCAAGTCAAAATCTAGCTCCTACACTAGTAGCCCAATTTCTTTAGACCTAAGATAATTTTTAAGAATGGAAGTTTTATTTGAGATGAAAGGCTAGCCACACAGCCTACTTTTGGTTAGGGATACTCTGTTTTCTCTCTCTCAAGTTCAACCCAACATGTCACTGAGACTGTCTAAAGCAATTTGTCACCACCCAGTCTTATCTAAGACCCAAGTCCTATCCAAATCTCTTTCCTATTGCCTGGTTTGAAGCATCTCAGAAGGCCACCCTTTAACCCCATTTCTACCCCTGCAGAGAAAAGAAACTACCTTCACATATCCACAGCTGGTGACAGCCCCCACATCTCTTCTTCCTCTTTTTCTCCAGGATAAACACATATGCTATGATTTCTATATTCTTTCATACCTTGAATTTAACCTAAAAGACATCTAGGTTCTTGACTAAATTCTTTTAAAAGTATGATATCCAGATACATCCTCACTGGTTCAGGCACCAATGACTGTGCACTGCCAATGACTAGGACAACCCATCTACTGACTTAGTCTCTAACTGCCTTTGTTAACGCTCTTATCCACATTGTTAATGTCAAAGAAAATTCCCAGGGGTTCGTTTGTAAACCTGGCATTACTGTACTCACTGTCTATGCAACTGTTTATAATTTAACTACAAAATATGACACCTTCATTTTGATGACTTAGGCCCAGCACACCAACCAACAAGAATTATTCATTAACTCTCTCGGCTCTTCTATTAGTTTTAGTCAATTTAAAAATATGGCAAGCACAACTTAACCAAACTATAATACAAATACCCCAACATCTGTGTTCCCACCAGGGCGGTCTCAGGATGCCTCTCTTGTGAAGTATAACCTCCAGAGGGATCTTTTCCTCCCACCTCCCACCATTCCATATACTAAGGACTCGAAATTCAGAAGGTTAAACCTCCCTGCAGAGTTGCAGACATATAGACCTAAGTAATACCTGCTGATCATGTCTATCTATATTCCTTCTCTATCTCAAACTCAAAAATATAAAAAACCCCAAATCGTAATCTTTTATTTTAATAAACACTTATTATACATCTGGTACATTGTGAGCAAAGCTAGTTGTGTAGAACCTATGTTCTGAAAAAGGATAGATTATAAACACGCATATATTTATTATTAAATGTTAAGAAGAAAACAAGCAAGGTAAGGGGAACTGCCTATGCGCAGGGCAGGGGAGCGCTATTTTGGATATGAGAGTCAGAGAAGGCTTTATGGAGCTTATTCTGAGCAGAGACCAAGAAAGTATCTCTAGAGGAACATGTTGCAGAGATCCTGAGGAAGGTGGTAGCTTAGCCCCTCTGAGGAGCGACCAGAAGTCAGTGCAGCTGGAACAAAATGGAACGTGCTGAGGTAGAAGAGGAAGCTAGGGTGCAGATCACATAAGGCCTTCTATGTGAGTTTCATCCTAAGTGTGATGCAAAGTATGATGAGTTTTGAATAGATGAGTACTTGATTTTGTCTTACATTGTAAAGGTTTGTGCTTGGGGGTTAAGAGCACTAGCTGCTCTTGCAGAGGACCCAGATTTGGTTGCCAGCACTCACATGGCAGCTTACAAACATCTATAACTCCAGTTCCAGGGGATCCAACATCCTCTTCTGGTCTCCAAGGGCATAGTACAACATGGTACACCTACACACATGCAGGCAAAATGTCCATACACATAAAATAAAACTTAAAAAAACTTTAAAGGTGTGTTTCTGGGCTGATATGGACATAACAGGGTAAAGAAGTCAAGAATGAAAGACAGACACCAAGTTAAACCAGCCAGCAATCTTAGAAGCAAAACCGTGACAGCTTAAACAAGGAAAATGATGTGTTGGAGAGTGGTTAGTTTCCAAAAAAAAACTCTAAATGTGAAGCCAAAAGATTTGCTAATGAACTAGCTATGAAATGAAAGCGAACTAATGACACCTTGGTTTGTAGTCTGCAGAACTAAGAGGTAATACCAGTTGTTTTCATGGAAATCAACTGGAACAAATTTACTGAGAATGGTAATGAAAACTGATTTTATATGCTGAATCAGAGAAGCATATTAGACAGACAATTGGCAATACAGCACAGGCAGCTAAGTGACCAAGCACAGAGTCTAGGGAAGATGTTGGGAGTGGAAGGAGCCCAGCATGCTCACACATGTGTGTACAATGTATGTAACTGATGCATATAATGTCAAGGAAGTGGATGAGATCATCAAGCTGGTAAGGCTAGAGAGGAAAAAGAAGATATACAACTGGGCCCTGGAACAAGTCACTCAACTCAGAAACTTTATTTCTCAAATCTGTTCATCATTTGAATTTTGCAAATATTTAAACTAAACAGCATAGAAAAGAAAATGGTTCAAGGGTGACCTTAGTTTGCCTTCAAGTAAAAATTTCAAAACATTAACATGTTGTCCAGCTCTCTTGCATTCAATTAACATGCACCACAAAAGTTATGGACATACTACTTAATATAAAACTCAAATAATAAAACTGATACAATGTTTAATTACATGAGGGTGTCTAGGTCTCTATTTAAACTGGATTATATGGACATTTCTTAAGAATGGAGATTTTAGGGCTGGAGAGATGGCTCAGTGGCTAAGAGCAATTGCTGTTCTTACAGAGGACCCAGATTCCGTTCCCAACACCCACATGGCCGCTAACAACCATTCATGACTCTAGTTCCAGGAGACCCATCACCCGCTTCCGGCCTCTATGGAGGCAGTGCACATATAGATACACTTATATACATACAAGAGAACACTCACACATAAAATAAAACTTATTTATAAAAAAAGATTCTGCCATTAAAAGAATGGTGATTTTAAAGTGTCTTACTTTTTACTTTTAGCTTTTGTTTTTTTAAATATTTTATTTATTATTTTTATTTTATGTGCATAAGTGTATTGCCTGTATGTAGGAAGGTGCACCCATGTCATGCAATGCAATGCCTGTGGAGGACAGAAGAGGGCATTGGATTCCCCTGGAACTGGAGTTACAGACAGTTGTTAGCTGCCATATGGGTGCTGGGAATCAAACCCCAGTCCTTTGCAAGAGCAGTCAGTGCTCTTAACCACTGAGTCATCTCTCCAGCCCCATCTTTTAGCTTTTCTTAAAGCTCACTAGTTATTTAAGTTTGTTTGTCTTGATGCTAGGAGTTGAACAAAGGGTCTTCTTATACATGCTAGGCAGGTGCTCCATCACTGAACTATATCCTAACCTTTATTCAAGTATTTAATGGTTGAGAATTAAGTTAGGTAAAACTAAAATGGTAATTACAAAGTCAACAGGTCTTAAGGACTGTTTTTATCAGTAAAATGACAGTGTCCACTGAATTTTACCTATGAAAAGTACAACACTGGCTAAGAAACCCTTTCTTATGCTCCCTCATGTATGACTCGTGTCTTCCTTCTTTGGGGAGACCTGGTAACTCTCCTCTGGGAACACAGATGGAACAACATAGTATTTGAAGCCACTCTTTTCAGATGCTGGGCAACAGTCAGCATGGGACAACTGATTATACACTTAGGAGAGCTTCTTAAATAGGAGAGCTTCTTAAATTCTTAACTTGGAATATTTGAAAATAACATTATTTCCAGGGTTGCTTTATATTTAGTAAGGAGTATAAATGGGTAAATACTGAACTGCTCTCTGAGCTTGTGTTACCATTTTTAGAGAGACAATCGATTTCATGATGTAATTCTTAAGAATACCTCAAAAGTTTTTGAGACTTTTTATTAACTTCTGTGTTATAATTTTATATGTATTTGAAAATGTGCTATTTTCTTTTTCATAAAGGCAGCCTTTCTCTCTAGTGTAGTCATTTTTAAATTTATATATTTTAATAGGTGATATATTTTCATTTTTAAAATCTAAAAAGTACAAAATATTTCCCAGTGAAAAGCCTCCTCTGTCTTGACCATTCATCCATTCATCTTATCCATACTGACACATACCAAGGAAAACTAGTCTATTCCTTCCAAAGATTTTCTGTCATCCAGCTGAAGAGATTATTACTAATGTCTCCTCTCTCCTCCCTCCTACCCCCGTTTGCTACCTTTTTCTTTACTAGTGACTCCCGTTCTCGGTCCCTTGTTTTCCATTCCTCCGCCAGAGCTTGCATATGAGCCAATTCTTTCTGCTTGAGCTGGAAAGGAGGAAAAATGGTCACTGCAAGTTCCAAACAGCTCAAATAAGCAAAGAAGGTTCTCGGCTAAGGAACTAACACTGATTACCAATATTATCTAAGGCATTCTATTTTTATTCTTAGAACAAAAACAATACAAAACCCCAAAACAGAGCTTGAGCTGGGTACAGTGCTGCACACCTGTAATTCCAGCACTTGGAAAGTTGAGGCAGAAGGATCAAGAGTTAAAGTCATCCTTGGCTACATATCATCTTACAGAGTAAGTTCCAGGTCCACCTGGGCTGTGTGAGACAATGTCTCAAAAAGAAGAAAGGAGCCACTAAGTGAGCTCAGTGGATAAAGGCACTTACCACCAAACCTGAAGACCCACGTTTCACCCCTGGGACCCACATGGGAGGGGAGAACCAATTTCCACAAGCTGTCCTCTGACCTCTATGCACACTTTCACTCTCTCACAAACACATACAATGAACAGAGAGAAGGGAAAGGGTGCTGGAGCGATAGCTCAGCAAGAAAAGAACTTCTTATGTAAGCATGAGGACCAAAGTGTGGATATCCTACATTCACATAAATGCTGGGTGAGTCATCTGTTAATCCAGCACTTAGGAGGCAGATGTGCCATCTCCAGAGTAAGATGGCTACTTAGACTAGTCACACTGGATAGTTCTGGGTTCAAGTGAGAGACCTTACCTTGATGAATAAGGTGGAGGCCAATCCAGGAAGACTCCCAACATCATACTTTGGCCTTTATATGCATGTGTATATACATGGACTCACACACACACAAACATGCACATACACAGACACACACAGACACACAGACACACAGACACAGACACAGACACACACACACACACACACACACACACACAAAGAATTGACATGATGCCTTAGTGGATAAAGGTGCTTGCCACCAAGCCTGCTGATCAATCCCCAGGACTCACATGGAGGAAGCAGAAAACTGACTCTTGCAAGCTGTCCTGACTTTCACAGGTACACTGTGGTATGCAAGTCCACACACATAAGACATGAGCTCATGTGTGTGTGCACACGCGTGCCCACACACACACACACAAAACAGACGCATGTATTTAAAGTTTTTAAACATTAAAAAAAAAAAAAACCCAAACAAAAAATAAGGAGCTTTCTTGAGGAAAGTAATAGGTTTCTGAGTATAATTCAGGAGAACACAAAGCTGACGGTGAGGTTAGGTTTTCTAACCTTCCTTTCTGGGGACTCTGGTGCTAAGCTGCAGGAGAGCAGATGAATAAGAACTTGAGATTAAAACTAGACAGGAACACTGAGAGAAAACCCTATTCTAGAGAAGGAAAAAAATATACTAGATAAAACAAAAGTAGATTTTCCAGAATAAATTTTCAACCCACCTGATTTTCAAATATGTCTTCTTGCATCTCTTTCCACATTTCTAGCTCAAGTGCTGCTTTGTACTCCAAGGTTTCACGAGGCTCTGGCTGGGTCTCGGAAGGACAAGGTGCTGGAGGAAGAGAAGGCGGCTTTTGCTGTACAGCAGACAAACCCTGAGATGTGAAAGAAAAAGCATTATGTGAACACACCCATACACATCAGACTCCAACTAGGGAATTCGCTAAGAACTGTATTTACCTGAGATGACTCTGAGACAAAAATCTCACGCATTTTCACTAGTCCGTAGTCCTCTAGAGTCACTGTGTAAGAAAGATCAACTATCCTGTTATTTGACCTACAGATGAAATAAGAGTTAGTCTAAAGTTCACAGATCCCTTTTCTTCATTTCACTCCCCCAGTGCTGTAGTGTGGAGGAGCAAGCAGCACTTTCTGTACCCCGCATTCACGCTGTGCAAACTGCCACACTCCACAGGCTGAGAACCCTCCACACACATGCTTTTACTGCAGCACAAACATCTTATTAAGTAAATAGCTATACTTACTACAAAATCACCTAGATAGCCATGCATTTGTTTTGAAAAATTAAAAAACATAAAAGATGCTGGGTGTGGTGGCACATGCCTTTAGTCCCAGAACTCAGGAGGCAGAGAGAGGTGTATCACTGTGAGATCAAGGTCAGCCTGGTCTATATAGACAGTGCCAAATCAGATGAGGCTACAGAGAGAAGAAACAAACAAACAAACAAAAAAAAAAGTAAAAAGGTTAGACAAAAAATTTTAGACCCCACAGGTAATTACTACTAATATTTATTTTCTTATTCTTTTTTGTTTGGTTGGTTTTGCTTCATAAGACAGGGTCTCATTATGTAGCCTTGGGTGTCCTAGAATTCTCTATGTAGATCAGGCTGGACTTGGAACTTACAGAGATCCTCCTGCTTCTGCTTTCCTAGTGCTGGAATTGAAGGTGGAGACCACAACACCTGGATTGTTTTGGTTTTTGGAGAGCTAAAGATCAAATCCAGGGCCTTCTGCATTCTAGAGAGGACTTCTACTGAGATACACCCTTGACACAACAGTATGGTTTTTACTGTCTCTAAGACATACTAATGAATTTATGTAGTAAAATATGCTTAACAGTTCTCCTGTTCTTGATTGTCTAAGTTACTCTGAATTCCTTGGCCTATTTTTCTGGAAGGAGCACACATGAAAATCTTTTACTGGATATAAGCAATGCTTCGAGATAACCCTTAAAAGCAGGATAATAATATATTATTATGGTCTTATGGCCATAATTAGCGCCTTATGTACCCTAGGACTGCATGTAGTGTTTATTAAATAATAAAAACAAGCCAAAATATTAGAGGAAAATGAAATTTTACCAACCAAAAAACATGGTTTTGGCTAAACCAAATTATCTATCCCTTTTAAACAAAACTTACATAAACAGATCTTATATAAAGAAGAACTGATAACCAGAGCCACACTTTATTCTCCTAATCTCACAAATTTCAGAAAATGACTAAAGTAGAATGAAGCACTTAGGCCGCGATGGCACAGTGGGTAAAGGGACTTGCTGCCATGACAGACTGATGACTGAATTCCACCCCTGGAACCCACACGGCAGAAGAAAACTTATTCTAAAAAGTTGCCCTCTGACCTCCACGTGTGCTGTGACACACGATTCATGAACATGAGCACGCATACATGCACACACGCACAAACAAAACAAAGTTAAAAAAATTTAGTGAAGCACTATTATGTTGCAGAGAAATTCCTGAGTGCGTTTGAAGTTCTCACTTAGGTAAATCTAATAACTTCTCTGTCTAAAAGCAGAGCAATAAAAATAATACTTATAGCAGCATTAAAACAGCTTCATCTACTAATTATTCAATACTACTCATGATGACAGAAAAGAATGCTAAGCTTTAAGAGATTTTTTTTTTTTGGTAACAAAAGTCAAAACAAGAATCAAAGCCAAAAAAAAAAAACCCCAAAAAACAAAAACAAAAACAAAACAAAACCTGTCAGTTAACCAAGCATTTGATTCTTCAGGACCCCATTCCCTTATGTACAACATGAAGAAATGTTTTCCTAAACCTTTCGGGTTCTGGATGTGGCTATGGATGGAAAAGGGTAAGGGGAAAACTTCAATGGCACTTTGAGATTGCAGATTTTTGCTGAATCTTATTTCTTTCTACAGTCTCATTAGACTTTAAAAAAAAAAAAAATCCCAGCACTCAGGGGGCAGAGGCCAATGGATCTCCATGAGATTGAGGACAACCTGGTCTACAGAGTGAGTTCTAGGCCAGCTGGAGCTACAGGGAGACCCTGTCTCAAAAAACTAAAAAGGTTTTTATGTTAAATTGATTTTAAAATTTTATTAACTTTTAAAAGATAATTCAATAAATTCAACAAATGGTTAAAACATGAAAACTCTTTTTTCATTGTGGCAATAAGGCTCAAACAAAAGGTACAGTTATTATCATTTGTTCTAGCTTTCATTCTGTTGTAATAAAATAGTGACTCAAAGCAACTTATGAGAAGAAAGGTTTACTTGGCTTACACTCCAGGTCATACTATCTTTGAGGGAAGATGGGGCAAGAACAGAAGCAGAAACTATGGGAAACACTACTTACTGGCTTGCTCTCTGGCTCATACTCAACTACCTTTCTTATACAGCCCCAAAACCATCTACCTAGGGATGTCACCACCCACAGTAGGTTGGCACTTTTACATCAATTAGCAGTTACAATAATGCCCCACAGACATGCTCACAGGCCAGTGTGATCAAGGCAATTCTTTAAATGAGATTCCTTCTTCCCAGGTAACTCTAGGTTAATTAAGTTGACAATAAAAACTATCCAAGACACTATTATTCTTTTAGAGGTGCTGGTGACTGAACCTTAAGGTTCAAGCATTGTAGGTAAGCACTTTACCATTGAACATATATATCAATAGCCCTCCATAATTTATTTTTAAAACTGTCTCTGAAAACTGATACTTATTCTCAGACTTTAGGTTTCAGGCAAATGTTAAAATATTTTCTAGGTTGGGGGGGGATTGCAGCATTCCTAATGTAAAAATACAAGTTTAATCTTAAATAATAAAATAGCAGATCCTAAGGGCTGGGATTTGATAAGAAAAAGTAAATGGCCAGTACTTTTAGAAGTGTCTTAAATGAACCAAATACCAAACAAACACCCAGTAATTCTATGCAGAGTGTTAAGAGCGCATGACTATACATTTCCTGCTTAGACGGGGGACTATATCGCTCAGCAGGAGAGTATCTGCCTAGCCTAAGCAAGGCCCGGGGTAGGATTTCCAATACTACAATTAAAACAGAAAAGCAAAAACAAGTAATAGTTCCTTAATTTTAAAATTGTCAGGCTAGGAAGGGACAGCTCAATAGTTAAGAGCTCTTGCTCTTTCGGAGGACGCAGGTTCAGTTTCCACATCAGGTGGCTCACAACCTCCAATTACTCCAGTTCCAGGGGACTCCAATGCCCCCTTCTGGCCTCTGTGTGCACTTGCACACATATGGTACAAGCACATTTACTCAGGGCTATACACATACACATAATTTTTTAAAAAATATCAGGCTAGGGCCAGCGAGAGGGCCTGACAACTTGATTTTGATCCCTGGATCCCACAAGGTGGCAAAAGAGAACCGACTCCTAAGGGGTTTCCTCTGATCTCCACAGGCATGCCCCCTCCAATAACTATAAATAAATAATAAAACAAGATTATCAGACTAAGAATGGGGAAGAGAAATACCTAGCAGTCTGGGTAAGAATTATAATATTAAAATCACAAAATTCTTATACTTTTGTAAGTAAAAGGGGCATAAAAAAGCTAACAAGCAAACTAAAATAAACCATTCCCCACCCATCAAAGATCAATAACCAGCAAGAAGGCATGAAGGTTTTCGGTCACGGCTTATCAGCCCAAATCAACGCACGGAGGAAAGGCAAAATGAGCCCACTGCAGTGGGAGGTGTTACCCTTGCACTGCGATAACAGGCACACTTTCACTGTAAGTCTGACGCCAGCAGTGTTCACCATTAGACCCTAAAAACCGAGTTTTTTCTGAAGACAAGATGTTAGAAAGCTGGATTCTTGCAATTCCCAGGAGTAAGTCTTTACTCATTTTATCCTTGTGCCATAATTCAACCAGCAATGGAATCCTAAGGAAGAGAGAGACGTGTTCATTCTTACTGGCTCTGAGCTAGTCTTCTCCCAAGTAAACTCTCAATGCCTTCATGCAGTCAAAGATGTTCTGTTACTTGGGAAGTTATTAGCAAAATGGTTAAAGACTCAGTTCCCCTGGAACAAATATGAAGCACTACTACATTTTCTATAGCTCTAAGCAATAAAGAAAACTATTCTTCTCACAAATCATCACAAAATTTGGACCTTCATTCTTCAAGAACATATAAATTTCAGTTACGATACTCAGAAAAAAACAGATTTCAAAGATCTGATATTTCTTGAGTAAAATCTATTTCCCATAGCCAGATTAAAATGTCTAGTTTATCAACAAAAAGGTAGAAAGAGAAAATATATTACATTTGGTGACTTAAAAATCAAAACTATCCTTTATTTCCTTCAAAGCTCTCACTGACAGATTGTCTTAACAAATTTGAAACATTTAAACTCAAGCAAATAAGACACAAAAAGCAGAAATTAAGATTTATAATAAATCACATAAAGCTCTGTAAACATAAATGTCACAGACACTAGTTAATTAATGTCTTGATTCTCAAGTGCATCAGCTGCTGTGGGTTTAAACCCATCCTGCCAATAAGGTATCACTTTGTTAAGGGTTGTGAGTACATTACCGTAAGAAGGTGTCTTGCAGTTGGTGAGGCATAGTTGCAAAATCAAATGCACAATAAGACTGCGGAAGAAAAACTTCCATGTTTCTCCGAAGTTCTACAGGAGGGTTAGTCATAATGGGAGCTGCACTTCCAAAGAATGGATATGAGTACCTAGAATTGAGGAAATACAGCCCTTTTACTGTAAGACCACGAGACTTAGAGCCCAGATTTTTAAAAATGTACAATATATGAGCAGATAGAATTTTTAAAATAAAAAATGGCAGGAATACTGGGCTGCCACTTATTTAAGAGGTTGTTCAGAGTGGCCAGGCATGGTAGCGCACACCTTTAATCCCAGTGCTCAAGAGGCAGAGGCAAGTGGATCTTTGTGAGATGAAGGCCAGTCTGGTCTACTTAGCGAGTTCCAGGCCAGCTGGGGCTGCAGGGAGACCCTGCCTCAAAAAAGATAAAAAGAAAGAAAAAGAAAAAGAAAAAGAAAAAGAAAAAGAAAAAGAGGTTGTTCAAAGTACATGCTTCTTAATCTTTGCATTCCCAGAAACAAATAAGCAATTACATTCAAGAAATGCTTGATATATTTAATTCAGAACCTACTTTCTTTCATACAATAACATCCTGGTATTTATGAGCCAAAAAGCTAAGTCAATGCCAAAAGGATATATTCACAGTAATCTCTGAACAGAAAATCAAGATAAAAATAATTCAAATGAATTACGGCTAAACCAAATAAGTGACTTACACTGTTTTTCACCATAAAAACCATACTAGATTAAATGTAGAAAGCCTACTTCCTAACTTATTCTGAATTTAAAGATAAATATAAAATATTGTAATATCTGTTTAAATTTCATCCTGCATCTTGTTATTCGTAAATGAAACTATAATAAAATTTAAACCCTACTAGTAAAAAATGATTTTCCTATAAAAAATGTATCCCATGTATTCACCCAATTTTTATATAATTATTCATCCACTGAAGTCATATTATCTCAGAGTTCATGCCCTACAATTTCAACTCCTACTACCCTGCTACAGGATCTAGGAATTGAAAGAAAAAGAGGTCCAATAGATTAAAAAAGACCTGTAAGCTAAATTTCTTTTCAGTCTTACCTCCTAAATTCCACCACACAGTTGCATACCATTGCCAAGCACTATAGCATACATTTGGCCGAACAGAGAACAAACTAAATGGCCAGTACTTTAAAAACTGCCTTAAATGACCAAACACCAAACCAGCAGCTAGGAATTCTAAAGTTTAAGTGGCTCATGGCTCTGTATTTCCTGCTTAGAATGTAAATTCACCAAGTGAATTACTATTGTCCTTCATAATATACTGACTGATTTCTAAGTCTGCTATCCTCACTAAATTGATCAATTTGTCTCCTGTACCTCTAATACCTGGTACATCATTGGCATAATGTGGCACTTAATTATTAAAAAAAAAAAAAGTCTTGATAGAAAGAAGCAAAAGAGAAAAACTAATTATTAGTGCTTTCTAAACCAGACTGTCTAAGGCTCCTTCTTGTAGAATCCTAAGGAGTCTGTGTCTGTTTTCATGCTCCTGGCCAACAACCCTCTCTGGGTATACTAAGTTCAGATTCTGGCAGCAAGCAGAGGCCCTTTAAAGTAGTAAAAAAAAAAAAAAAGAAAAACGGCTAAAAACAACCAAACAAAAACTATAGAATAACAATTCTATTTCTAAAATAGACAAAAACAAACCTTTTGAGAAAAGCTATGTTCATGAGAGAAAAATCTCTGTCAGCCTGCAATTTCTAAATAGGACCATCTTAGTAATAATTCTTGGCATTTAACATGTCAACTGCAGAATGTGGCAGAGATGGAAAATGGAAAGTCTTTCAGTCAATCAAGTCCCACCCTGTGCTAGGCCTCCCTGCTTTGACAGATACTCATCCCAATATGGAGGACTTAGAATCAACTTGAGAAGCAATTACATGAAAAATCAGAGACAAGTTGATTTATGCAGCAGAAAGCAGGTATGCCTCAAATCATAGCATTGTATTACATTTAATTTATATCTCGTCAGCAAAGTCTATGAAAATTTAATACTTAAAACAAACTGTCATGTAAAGCCATATAACTGTTTATACATACTAATTCTTTAATATTGAACAGTGGGAACATTCCATTTCAATCCCATTAAGCATAGTTTTTATATTCATAGCTACCAAATGTAGGTGAGAGGAATATAACATCAAAAAATAAGTTACTGTACCATCATGATTTTGACCTGTAGCACCTCTTCCAGTAAACAAGCAACCAAAATTACATTGTAAATGGCAGCGTCAATTAATGATTATAAATGCCTATAATTACTATACCAGAATAGGTAAGGCTGTTACCTCTCCTATCACCAAAGCCACTCTGGCTTAAATTCAAAGTCATTAGCATACTGCCTTACTGCCTTTTGGGCCACTGATTTCACAGATATTACAATTTCTTTGGGAACATTTCTCTGCAACTCCCTCAACAGAGGAAAGCATTTCTCCCCCAAACAAAATCAAACCACACCTCAATATGCAATTGACTGGAAAACTAACTTCCAAGCCATGGATACTCCTTAAGTCTATTGAAAAGCAAAAGTGATGTGCTGTGGCTGGAACAGCAATCTTCTGTGCCGAGGTGGCTTCCGAAGCACTGGAGGGAGCCACAGGCTGGGCCAGTGAAGTAGGTACTGAAGACGTGACGCCTAAAGTAGACATAAAAAAATTGAAAGCCATCAACCTTCAAGCACAGAATTTGACAATTCTGCTTTGTGAACATATGAACTGAGGCATGTGCATCTTAAAGTGGCTTGCTCTAAATTACCTAGATTTTAATCCCCGTTCTAGAATTGTATAAAAAAAAAGCTTAGTGTAGGGCATAGTGGCACAGTCCTGAAATCCTAGCACTCAGAGGCTGAAGTCAGTCTGCATGGGTTACACAGCAGGAGCAACATACTCAAAACATAAAAATAAACAGAAGAGGTCACAATATCTGACTGCAGCCTGGCAGGCACTAGCTTTATTCTCAGAAGTGCCTCTGCATGACTCGTTGCATGCTTGAAGCATTGGGCTTGAGATTTACTATAGATGTAATTGTATCACCTGTTACAAATTAGGTGTGGTTATTTTAAGGACATATGTAAAGACAGAGAAATCGAGTCCAATCCTATTATAGACCAGAGTTGTTTAAGGAGTGGCTGAGTCTTAGGCTGCTCATGACAGAGGTGAACTTTGCACCAAGGCTTCTAACCTCTACTACTTACTCACAATGCTGGTTCTAACTACAGACCTCAGCCATGGGTGGAAAAGTTTTATAAAACTAGACACACACATTCTCAGACTTTCTCTTTAGAGTCAAAATAATTATTATAAGTTTACTATAAGGAGTTAATGACTCCTTTCTCTAAAATTCCAGTGGAAAAAAATCTACTTGAAAGACCTATATTCTTAAGACAGGTGTGGTGGCACACTTTAATCCCAGCACTCTGGAGGCAGAAGTAGGCGGATCTCTGTGAGTTCAAGGCCAGCCTGATCTTCATAGTGAGTTCCAGGCCAGCTGGGGCTACAGGGAGACCATGTCTTTACTTACCCCCCCCAAAAAGGAATGAGAGATCTATATTCTTTAATTTCTTTTGAATGGACTATCTCCAATACAAAAATAAAACAGAAATGTATTAATTTAGCAAACTATTATGAAGTTTAATAGGCTGAAATGGCATAAACTGAACATTTTTATCACCACATATTTTTAATTCTTACAAAAATGCTCCCAGTTTACATTAAGCTCTCAGCTGTTGGTTGGATGGCTACAGACCCCAGAACCACCGATGTGTGAAAAGGACAACGTACCCTTCAGGCTTTGTTTGAGATCCTTATCATACTGCAGGCTTTCTGCTTCACTTTCTGTTGCTTCGTCTCTGGTTGGAGGTGTCTGGTTGTGAGCTGGGACAGGGGACACGCTTGGTGATTTGGGCCCATTGAGTGCCTTCTCCTTTACGGGGGTTAAAACTCTCTTCTTTGAATGTTCTGGCTCATGTCCATTATGGGTTTTTAATTCAATTAAAGACTAAAAACAATTTTTAAAAATAGAGTATAATTTGCAAAATACTTTCCTTCATAATTAAGCAAAAAACTTGGCGTTGCTTTTTAAAAAGTACAAGCTTCCTTTCCCAGTTTGGATATTCCTAGTCTAATTTTCTTCATAATTTGTAAATTTCCTTAAACCATCTAGGACCAGAAAAAGGAAGATGAACAGGAAGAAAACAATATCCAGAGCTGAGTACTTACAAAATGTATCCTACTAAGTAAGAAGCAGCACTTGAGAAAAGACGCTGCCATAGGTGACCCTGGGCAGTTATTCCTACACCACAGTGCAAGGGAGGATGAGGCCCCTAGGGGTCTCCTCTGATGGTCTTCTACCCCTTGGCTCTACCCCCAGTCTGTTCTTTATTGTACACACACAACTTAAATTCTCATTTCAGTTTCCTGTCTTTCATTCACAACCTACATAAAGGCTGACTCTGAAAGAACAAGATAGTCAAGTTGTCTATACAGGTAGATACAATTAAAAAGCACATTTAGACAAATGCAAAAATTGCCTAAGGAGAGAACAAAGTACTACTATATCAAGAATCTTATGTTAGTTGAGGTAATGTCAGGCAAAAAGATACCATTATTGCAGATTTTTTAAAAAAGTAGTTCTGGGCTGGAGAGATGGCTTAGGGTTAAGAGCACTGGCTGGTCTTGCAGAGGACATGGGTTAGATTCCCAGCATCCACATGGTAGCTAACAACTGTTCATAACTCCAGTTCCAGGGGAATCTAATGCCCTCTTCTGACCTCCACAGGCATTGCACGACATGGGTACACTTACACACATGCAGGCAAGACACTCATTACATAAAATAAAAATAAGTAAAATTTTTTTTTAAAAAGTAGATCTAAGATTATTGTCTTTTACCAGCTTCCTTTCAGCATAGGAAATATCTTTGAGTTAGAGGTAGGAAGAAATGGTGCCTACTAACCAAGAAGACTATTCCCAAGGCTAAGAGGGCTCTGAGAGCAGTCACTGCACTTTCCTGACAGGCTTATTAGAAAGGAACACTGTAACATAGGGCGCTAATGCAGACTAACAACACTCGCATTTCCAGGTAACTCTGGTGAAGAGTTCAACCTGTGTAATCAAGACTAACTTTGGAGAAGCTGGCAAATAAAAGCAGAGTGGCCACCTGCCTGGGAATCGATGCCTTCTCTCTGTAGAGCCACAGATACTCCCACAGTTGGGGCCAACTCCAGAGGAACAGGTGCGAGCTTCTGTTTGGCTCTGTTTGGCGGGTCAAGGGTAAAAGCACCCTCAACTGTGACTGGGTGCATGTTAATTTCCATACTGCCCTTCTTCAGTAATCCATTTAAAGGTACTTCTGTACTTCCAAGGGATTGATCTCCACAGCACAGATGAATCTATTATGAAAGGGGAAAATCAAAACAAGCTGTATTCCCTCCTCTTTCTTAAAAAACATAAACTTAACAGAAGTTGAAATGATTTACAAAAGGAAAGTATGATTCAGGGTGGTTCAATGACCTTCAGAAAATAATGACTTCCCAATGACTGTGGCAAATGGTGGGAACTCCCAAAGTTTACTATTGGCTCAGGAACAGTTACAGCTCAGGCCTTTTCACTTCTTCAATCATTAAGTACATGTTATCAGCTATTCTTCATCTTGTCAGAGCTGTGGTTACTCTAATACTTTACTACACTACTTTGAATATACAAATTGCATAATAAAATAAGTGCAAATTTAAATAGAAATTAAACACCAAGTATTTTTTAATTTCCATTGTAACAATTAGCCAAGTTCTAAAAATAATAAATCACTGGATCAGCCAAATTTAGAATTTAAAAGCCACAAATAATTTTTCAAAAATATTTTATTATTTTTATTTTATGTGTATGGGTGTATTGCCTGCATGTATGTGAGTGCACCCATGTCGTGCAATGTTGTGGAGGTCAGAAGAGAGCTTCGGATTCCTCTGGAACTAGAGTTAAGGATGGTTCATAGCCACTATCTGGGTGCTGGGAATTGAACCCGGGTCCTCTCCAAGAGCCGTCAGTGCTCTTAACCGCTGAGCCATCTCTCCAGCCCCACAAATATATATATTTTTTAATTCACTCAAAACATGCTGGGTTTTCCTTTTTCTTGTTATCAGATTTTGTTTATAAAACGGGATATTAAACTCCAAAAAGGTAAAAGAATAACGTCACTGGGATAGAAGGTTCTGCTAGTCAATGATAGCTAAGTAAAAGTTCAATATTACCATCCTTTGAAAACTCACACAAAAGCTAACCATTATACATACTGTATATGAATATACACATATATAGTTTATATATATTATTTTCCCTTACTATGCTAAAGTATTTCCCTCTACTATTGGCAGTGAGAGTGAAGAGAAACTTGCGGCTACTTTTTTTTTTTTATTTGAGGCAGTGTCTCACTATCTCAGGTTGGCCTTGAACTTACGATCCTTCTGCTTTTGCCTCCTGAGTGCTGGCACTACTGATATGTACAACCACAACTGACCTGTAACTCGGTCTTACTGTTACTGAATGTACACAAGTGTGGAGACCAGAGGAAGGAGTCAGGTGCCTCCCTTTATCACTCCCACCCTTATTCTTGCTATGTGGATCAGTGTTGGGATTAAAGACACGTGGCATCATGCTGGGCCCAAGACTGATGTTTTTAAAAAGCTAGAAACAAAGTCACAAATGGCCTATAACTTAAGTCTCAATGTTATTGTGTGTAATATTTTTAAGATTTTTATTTATGAGGCTGGAGAGATGGCTCAATGGTTAAGAACACTCACTGGCTGCTGTTGCAAAGGACCCAACTATGGTTCCCAGACCCACATGGTGGCTGACAACTGCCCGTAACTCCAGTTCCAAGAGATTCAACGCCCTTTACTGACCT